ACCCCCCCCCCCCCCCCCCCCCCTCTCTCTTTCACACACACACACTTTTTTTCAGGAGGGTATTTGAACTTGGGCAGTAATGTGGCGTTTTCAAACCTCTTTAGCCCCTTGGCTTTGTTCTATTAGATCGAAGTTGGACGTGCCGCCTATTACACAATCTTACTGGCATCTGTGGTGTAGCAGTTAGGTACTTCGCCGCCGCACGCAGACGACGTGAGTTCGATTCCCGAAAGGGGAAATTTTCATCGAGTGTCTCAATATTTCTGCTTGGACTTGTCCTTGCACGCAGAGTCGAAACTCGTTTCTTAAATGAGTTAAATTATTTTGGTGAGGATTACATAAAAACAAAACAAAAAAATCAACATATTTCCCCACACAGCATTGTGGCGTCGATAGGAACGTTGAACTCTCTAACTTCCGATTAAGGCGAAATAGGAACAGTTCTGATAATGTTTAAGTTTTAGTATACGGAAATCTATTTCACTTTTGTACGTAACCTGTTTTGTCATTCAATTTTTTATCGTCACAAATGTCCTAATACCTCCGCTTCCATTGATCTATTTGCATAAAAAAATATAACTGTCCTGAAATGAATGCACAGTACAATAAACATAAAGTTTGGTTACAAATACCGCGGACTGTCTGTGATTATGTTGATTTTCTTACGACTGTGAACAACCAAACGATGCATCACGCCATAGTTTTAACTTGCAAGCAAGCCGTATAGTTTGGGTTAATGAATACAGTTGTGTTCCTCATTTCAGGTTTGCTGAAGATTTCGTCATGAAGTTCCTCATCCTAACAGCATGCGTGGCTGTGGCCACTGCTTTCACCCCTGCGACTAAGCCAGGTAAGTCATTTTTGTCGACCTTTTTTATTCTTTAATCTTTAATATAAGACACGGAGGAAAATCTTCATCACCTTTTTTTTTGCATGTGCATTCCAACCCCGAGCTGCTGTAACCTGGGACGAAACTTGTACACTTCCCATGAAGCTGAGTTTGTTTCCGAAAACTCTCAGGTCTTCTTGGGTAATAGTATAGATCGTGAAGCGCATAGAGCTTGCTGCTGAGCAAGTTTTTGCGCTCCACAAATTATGCAATCTATTAATATCATTAATAGTTCGCTTTTAGAAATATCAGATATCCGTTCAGTTTCTGATTTTGTGCATTTGATTTCCATCTTTCATTCCAATGTTTCTTTACGTCTTGCTTTAGGCGGCAAGCGTTTAGGTTTAAAAAATAATTTCTTAGGAATATTATCGATCACCTTTTCCGGTGAACAATGCTTTAATTGTGTTAATGTCTTTCTGGTAAGGAAAGCAAAGATACCGCGATAATGTTATTCCCTTTGGAACTCGTGACCAACTTTGCGTTCTTCTCCACAGTGTGCAATGCTGACAATAACGAAGGTGGATCTCTTCTGATGTCCCACGAGAACTATTGCCAGCTGTACTACTCTTGCAACGGTGACCAGCAAGCCTTTGAAATGACCTGTCCAGATGGCTACCTCTTTTCATGGGATGAAGGATTGGCCAACTGTATACCTCCCGATGGCGTCACTGTAACTTGCCCTAACTGTAAGTACCTTGAAGTAATGTTTAGCTACCTTTCTCAGTATTTGGGTATTCCTTTTTTTTTCTTTCTCATAGCTTTTTACGGTTCCTGTACAGCCAAGACAAAATTTCCACTGGGGAAAATAATTATCCTCCAGCTATATTTTTTTAAACTGCCTTTTCCCCTTCTTCTCCCTTCATCTATCTCTCTCCCACTATCTCTCAACCCTTCTCTCTCTCTTCACCTATCCCTCCATTCTTTTTTCCAAGACCCCGCCCTGCTCGCATACACATCTACACAAACACCCACATACGCACACACCAATAAACACACTATCAATGAATACACACACAAACAGGTACACATACATACACACGTACACACACGCACACACGTGCAAACACACATACATACAGACACACACAATCACATACCTACCTGAGCGCTCAAAAACACACACACTCGCTCACACACAAATACACATACATACATACATCCATTCATAAACAGAAATACACATACATACATACATACGTACATATTACATACATACATACATACATACATACATGAATACATACATACATACATACATACATACATACATACATACATACATACATACATA